TAGAGAAGAGGACGCACTTCAATTCTGGTCTGGAGTCTTTACACATATGCCTTCCCTTTCTAAGTTACCTACCATTCACGTGTATCTCAAAATTAGTAAAAAGAACATTTAATATTGCAAGACAATGAACATTTTGGTAGCATAACTTGGACCCCCAGAGCTTATATGAGAGCCGTAATTTTCATTCTGAGCAAACCAGGTATTTGATCCAAGTGACAGTTTACTCTCTTAATACGATCAAAACCCAACCCAAAGGATTCTCCTAGAGGAAATCATTTCATACTTGGATGAAACAATTCCAGAATCTATTTAACTCTTTTTTGGTTTGGTTCCCTGGGAAACAAAAATACTGTATGCTGTTTCCTTACTCTGACTTACAAAGTCAGAGCGTTGTAAGACTCTGAAATCATAGCTCCTGATCCTGCCAGATAGCAAAACGAAACCCCTTTGGCTCTAGCTAGGTTTGGGGGGCACTCAAAAGAAAGGGCGGCGCTACAGGAAGGCGCGCGAGTACTCCTCCTTGTTCAGCTCCAGCCTTTAGAGGATTGATTCCCTGCCTTGTGTTGCAGTTGTTTTTGCGTTGCTGTGAATCACTGCTGCCAATTTCCACCCTAGAGATGGCGATGGTTCAGAGAGGAGTGAAATGATACTTGTAAACAGGTTGATCGTCATTAATAAAGCTTACCAAACAATTTAAGCTCTTCAGAAACACACATCCTCTCGTAATTAATTGCCTATTGTTTAATTATAACCTTTAATAGAGTCGTGAGGACTTTTAAAGCTGCAACTTAGAAGAATTCAAAACTTAATTAAGGACGATTTCATGATGTTTATTTTGTTTTTGTGAGTTTCGGGTGTCAAAGCATTTCTCCCTAGAGATCTGGGAGAAATTCTACCACGGACTGCTCCAGTGTACTCCTTCAACATCCTTAACCCTTTGTTTAAAGTCAGCAATTGCCGACCCACGTGCTCTGTCTGCAGTCCTGTGGTTTGATTCTGGTTTGTACACATGGCTTCGTAAAAAAAAAAATTCAGTGAATGGCTGACACCCCATCTTTTCAACCCACATAGGTTCACTTCTTCACTGCCGTTGAGTCAATGCTGACTCCGAGATCCTAGGACAGCAGGGTTTCTGAGACTATACATCTTTCCAGGATTGGGAAACCTCATCTTTCTCTGGTGGAGTGGCTGGCGAGTTTGAACTGCTAACCTTATGGCTAACAAGCCACTGTGCCACCCGGGCTCCTTAGGTGGTCTCTAGCTCAAGATGATTCCAGATTTAGCTGTTGTTCAGCTTCCTGAAGATCTTCCAGTTAAATGGAGCTGACCTTTCTTTTGGAAGTGCCTACAGGCCCTCCAGAGTCAGAATTGACTTGATGGCAGGGAGTGGTTTTGTTTGTTTGTTTGTTTGTTTGTTTTCCTCTACCGTGAGTATGCCGAGCTCACTCCAGCCATTCTGGGGAAGTAGTGCTAAAAAAGAAAACACCCTGAAATTCCCAACAAATGAAGGGAAGTCTTTAGATACCTGCCAAGTAAGTGTTGGCGGAGTCCTTAAAGAATGTCCTGGAAGCTCAGCGGCCTTTGAGGGCTGTCATGTTTATCCCGACTGGATAATCCTGTTGCCTCTACGGCTCTGCAGCTGTACAGGCCTACCTTGCTTTCTTGGGCTTCAGTTTACTGCACTTGGAGATAGTGTTTTGTGTTTGTGTTTTCATGGCAACTAATTGAAGGTTTGTGTTATCCCTGCATTGACTATCTATGTTATAGAGGGTGCTCATGCTTATGCTTGTGTATCACAGGTTAGTTATTCTCACACTAATGCGAACTTTTTCATAATGCTGTTGCACACTTAAAAGACTCCAGCATAATTTCAATATGAACTAGGGGAGGAAGGGGGAACCGATGGCAATGATTGACACACTACCCCACCCCACCCCCGCCCCCGCCCCAACCCAGGGGGATGAACAACAGAAACTGTTGGGGGAGACAGCGGTTGGTGTAAGATATGAAAATGATAATTTATAATTTATCAAGGGGTCATGAGGGTGGGAGGGAGGGAAAAAGAAGAGCTGATACCAAGGACTCAAATAGAAAGTAAATGCTTAGAAAATAATGATGGCAACATATGCACAAATATGTTTGATACAATTGATGTATAGATAAAATGATCTTTAAAAAAATAATAAATGCAGTGACTGGCTGTATTGCAGTGATTGTTCCATGGCACCGGTGTGAAACCAGCCTGCAGTACCTTGGGGGTCTGCCTGTGGTTGTTCCTGTGACTCTAACTCGCCTATCAGGTTCTCATGTTCCCGTTCAAAAAGCATTTGATGGAATGAAAGCCAGAACAAACCCCCAAACCTTTAGCTTTCCTTGTTCTGTAGTTTTAAGTGCTGCAGCTGGGATCCTTGTAAACACGGCGGCGGTACTGAGAAAACAGGAAGCCCTCTGAGAAAATGGCAAGGTGGCAGGGGCACCTGATCTCTGATTTTACAAGAGAGAAGGAAAATCAAACTCCACATCTGCCCCAGGCTGATTCTTAAAAATATGCCTCAACCCTCCGACCTTCCTAACCAATTCTGATAGCAACCATCCCTGAGGGCTGTCCTGATCATCCTTCAGAGTCAGAGATGTCCTCCCCTTCCGAGTACTACATCCTTCAGAGTACTGTGTCCTTCAGAGAAGTACCTTGTGTAAGGTTATGCCAGGCTGTGCAATCTTACCACCTCTAAGGTTCTTCCACTATACAGGCCAACCTGGTTTCTCTGAGCTCCACTTTACTGCACTTGGAACACTGTTTTTTTTGGTGTGTGTGTTTGTATCTCTGCTTCTCTGTTGGCTTCAAGAATTCGTTGCAGGGCCCATGGAGAACGTGCAGACAATACTCACGATTATGAGTTTACTAGGGGAGTGAACTTCTAGGGAAAATCGAGGCTTTCTACCCCCACGGACAGTTACAGTCTTCGAACCCCACATGGGCAGTTCTACCGTGTCCAATAGGGTCACCGTGAATTGGAATTGACTCGATGGCAGTGAGTGAGTGAGTGAAGTGAACAGGTTCAAATTCGGGATCAGAAATGCTCAGGATGTAATTCTTAGGTTAGGACAGCCTCTTCTCAGCCATCCTTGCGGGCAAGCCTCCCTCTATCTCTTGGCCTCTCAGTCACACAGTTCCTTGGCCTCTGCCTTCCTTCAGCAATGTTACAAAGCTCTTGGAGTGTTGCCAATAAGTGTCCACAGGCCACTCTACTCTGCAAACAAGCCTGGCCTGAGAGGGCCTAGCTTTGTCTCTGTGGGCCAGGAAGCCCAGCACTCCGTGTGCTCTTGGTGCTGTTACCTCTGCTGCCACCTCTTCTCTGCCACCCTGGTGTCCCAGCTCTTGGTCTCCTGGATCGAGGAGGCCAAGGATGCTGGGATCTTAGGGCCAACGGCCACACTCCTCTCCTGGCTCTTTAAAAATGACCAACCCTTACCTTAGAGACTGTATTTGCATGGGAGCCCTGTATTATTATTTTTTCTTCACATTATTAGCAAGAGGAAGGCCCTGGAGAAGATGCATTGACACAGCGGCTGCAACAGTGGGCTCAAACATGGTGCAGGACTGGGCAGTGTTGTGGTGTGTTGTACATAGGGTTGCTATGGGCTGGAACGGAATCGATGGCACCCAACAAAAACTCAACAAGCTTATCCAATTCCCTTGGTGGGCCACCAAACACCTTTGCATAGTCCTACCGTCTTTTGGTGGGAATCACAAAGACTGGCTAGGTCCCCTGGAGGTGAAGTGACTTTACTAAAGTCTCCTAGACTGGTGTTGGCATTGGGGGGCATGGGACCAGATATTCTTACTCCAGCCCAACGTCTACTTCCATCTCTATTGCCCATGTGCCAGTTCTGGGATGGCACAATGGGTGAAGTCTTGGGCTGCTACCTCTCAAGGTGGGGGTTCCAAGCCAGGAGCCGCTCCCTGGGAGAAAGATCAGTCTCCGATGCACTAAGGAGCAGGTCTACTCTGCCCTGTGGACTGGATGGCAGTGGGTTACATTTGGCATCTTATGTGCTCCCTCCCTCTCTCCATTGGGGTGGGGACGTCATCTCCTGGCCACTGGCAAATTTCTCTCCTTTTGGGAAAAGTGTTTTCAGTCCACAAAAGGGGCCCAGTTCCTTCCAGCACCACTGCTGGAATGCCTGCATCCAGGGATGAATTCCCAGGCCTGAAACATGAAAAGTGGGTCTCTCATTAGTTAATAGCATGTCCCAGGGCTGGAAAATCTCCTCTCGGGCAGTCTCAGGCACCCCCGAGTCCCCCCGCCCCCAAGTTAGCCTGGCACACTCCCTTTGCCCTCGTCCACCAGCATCCAGCACCCAGAAACGCGCTGGGCCCAGCATCCAGCATCAAGAGGGAGAGCAATCCATCCTCAGCGCCCACTCCCAGCACGCAGCAGCGGGCGCCGCGCGCCCTCGGTCGCCTGGCAACCAGGGAGGCGCTGACCTCTGACCCCACGGCCCCTCCCGGCCCCGCCCCTTCGCGTTCCTGAGATCAACATGGAGCAC